AAAGTTTATGTCACCATAACCATACTCATTCAATAAGTGATAACTATCTCATTTCCAAATTCATTTAAACCCATTCCAAAATTTAAGTATGGAAACTAAACAAAAAAATTCAAAACTTTTCATTTTTGAGCCTTCATTCTAGAAAAAAGAAAAAAAAAAAAAAGAGACCAAAAAGCATGAGACTGAAGCTTTTCACTTTTTAGCTTTTTAGCAACTTTTTTGAACCAGGTAATTGACACAAATAACCTTAAACATTTTACATTTTACATTTCATTATTGACACAAATAACAGGAAATATGCTCAATGCTTTACTGACTGTGAACATGCTGCTAAGATAAATTTGTCTGACTGGTGAAGATTTCAGGATAGTTGAGCTGGAATTAGTAAATGACACTGTGCTAGCATTTTGAGGAATTCGACAAAATAACTCATGCATACACATATTAATATGTACATAGCACCAAATCTAACAGTTGACTTAATTTAATCTTGGCAAGTTTTTGTAAAACATAAAGAATTTAAAACTGAAAAGGAAATGGTTCAATAATGCTTTAGCTGTTATCATGATATCAAATTATTGTAACCGAGTAGTGCATAAACTTTATTTGAATTTAAACTATAAAGCAACAAAAATAAAAATTAGATGAACCACAAATTGTCAAACACTAAAGAAAGAAAGAGCTTATTATATTCCTCAATATGAAATAAATGCATTCCAGGATAAATCAGCTAAATCCCCATCATTTACTGGAAATGAATGGCTGCGTGTCTATGGACAAAGAGGCCCCAGAGTCCAAACCTGAATCAATTGAAGTCGAGGTACCATCCCAGAGATTGTTTACGTCACTTTTGACATATGTAACCTCTTTGTGATTCTGTTGAACATTTGAATTGTTTTGCAAAAGACGGATCTGCTCTAACTTCATAGCAACTTCTATCATCCTTGGCCTCTTTTTACCACACAGGCTCAAGCATTGATGTGCAAGTTTAGCAACCTTTGTTATCTCTTCACGTGCAGAACTCTCCCCAACTCGAGCATCAAGAATACTAAAGAGACTATTCTCTTCCATGGAATGAATGAAATGAGAGGCCAAACTTCTTTCTCCTTCTGCCCTTGCTAAAGAAACTGGTTTTTCTCCGGTTAAGAGCTCAACAAGGACAACCCCAAAACTGTAAACATCACTTTTTTCTGTAAATTGACTAGATTGGTAATATTCAGGGTCTAGGTACCCAAATGTGCCCTGAACATTTGTGGTCAAATGAGTTTGATCAATGGCAATTAATCTTGATGTCCCAAAGTCTGAAACTTTTGCCCTGTACTTTTCATCCAGTAGAATATTTGAGGACTTAACATCTCTATGATAAATGGGAATGGAGGCTGCTGAGTGCAAGTAGGAAAGGGCAGCTGCAACTTCTGCTGCAATTGTTAACCGTCTTTCCCAGGTTAATGGGAAGTCTTCATTTTCATCATGTATATACTGGAAAAGTGTCCCATTGGGGATGAATTCATAAACTAGCAAAGGAACTTCAGTCTCCAAACAACAACCTAATAACTTAACAATGTTTCTATGATTAATTTGTGTAAGAATGACCACCTCATTGATAAACTCTTTAACTTTCTCTTTATCTAGTGCTTTGGACTTCTTAACCGCAACAATTCTTCCATCAACTAACATTCCTTTATAAACAGTGCCCTGGCCTCCCTGGCCAAGTATCCTATTCTTGTTGAAACGGTCAGTTGCCCTCTCCAACTCTTTGGTACTAAATATTTTGGTCTTTTCAATATTACCCTCAGTTGAAGACAGTTGTTGCTGCAATAAAAAACCTCCATTTTGTTTGAAGAATTGCATTTGGAGTTTCTTTTTCCTTCTTTTCTTTAAAATTATGTACAACCAGTATGTACCAATAAGTAAGCCCACTACTCCAAACCCTAGGCTAATGCCTGCAGAGATCAAAAGAGAAGAAATGGATGACTTTAGCAGAGATACACATGTATAACAAAACTTGATTATATGAAAGTCCAGTTTCATGGTTAGTTAGAAAATTCGAAATGAAATGAAATAAAATAAATAAAAGTCCACAGGATTGTGCATGGTCTTTAAGAAAGATCTTTAGGTGACAAAGGTGATGAGGGATGGTGTTAGCAATTAGTATTGAAGTTGGGGATGGTAGACAAATTAACATCCCTTTTTTATGAGTTTTGGCTATCAGGAGACAGACTTTGTGATGGGCTACAAACTATGGCTGAGATCACTAATTACTAAACTACGACCGGTATGAAACAAATTTCCCGGTGGGGGCAATTTGGACGGCAGATGCCAACTAGTTTTGAAAGGAGATATTCTGGTAGAGTAGCTGAGAGATCAAAAGGCTTGACTTTGTCCGAGGGAGCGAATAAAGTTTCGTTGCAGTCACAGGGCTTCACAATTTATTTTATTGGTGCTAGTGAAATGTCTGTTGAAGACAAAGGATAGGAACTGAACTGCAGAGGTTTAAGTTAAATTTTTTGTTGCGTTACTGCTGAGGAATCATACAAGTATCTCTTTTTTGAATGCCCTTTTTCCTCTCTTGTGGAGAACTGTGTTATTGAGCTTGGGGATTAGTAGAAGGCTGAGAAGTTGTACTGAGGAGTGGTTGTGGATCCGGAAGGAATGCAAGGGAAGAAACAGAAGTACCCAGCTTAAGTGCACTTTAGCTACTTCTGTTTATGAGATATGGGGGGAAAAAAACTTGAGAGTTGACACAAGGGAAACTGTTATGGTCTGTCAGTGCATCATCCATATATGCTGGTATTGCTGACAGAGTGAAGGTTGTTTTTCGCAATAAGTTTATTTCTGATATTAATTAGCGGTAAGCAACAGGGTATGAAAAGGGCATACTTGCCACAGGTTAAGTATTTACCTGACAGGTTACTTAAACATATATTTCTGTATAACTCCATATGTAAACAATTTTTATTATTTACATTTAAAAATTTATTACTAAAATTAAATAATAGTCAAATATCTCATAAAACCGTTTCCTTTTTAATGTTTTCATAAAACCATTTCTTAGTCTAATCCATAGATCTCTAACTCTAATATAACTCTTCTTGTAAGTAGTCAATAATGGTAATCAAATTATGTGTTTTATATATATACAGTCAGTATGCATGAAAGTCTCTGATTGATTACTCCATGAATACATTCAAGTATGTCTTAATTTGTGTTAAAATTATGAGATCAGTGCTTATCTCTCTTGCTTTAAATTTAGAGAAAATATCATTATATAATTATGTTATTTTAATAAAATTTTACAAAAAATAAC